GCTGGTAACAGGGGGGGCCCTGGGGATGCTGGTAAGAGGGGGGGGCTGGGGGTACCACAGAGGGTACAGAGTGTCCCCAGGGGTGATGGGTTGGGGGAGCAGGGGGGTGCTGGGTGCAGTACGAGGTGCCCGTGGGGCTAATGGGGGGTGCGGGGGGGGGGGCTGGGTCCTGCTGGCACCTGGGGGCCAAGGGTCGGCGTTCCCCAGGCATCCCCCCAGCATCACCTGTTGAGTCGGGTTAGCCAAACCCCCTGTTACCACGATTTTGGTTAAAAGCAGCTCCTGGGGGCCTGGAAACCAGGAGTGGGAGAGATGGGGGGGACTCTCCTCCCTCTCTCTCCACCCAATATGGGGGGGGGGGTTGCTTTTGGGGGTGACTATTCAGACGTGTGGCCGGGGAGGTGCTGGACACCCCGTCTTGGTGCTGCCTGTGGTCCCCAGCCGCCGGAAAACCAAAGTCTTTCGGTCGGTATTTCTCTGCACCAGCCCCGCAGCGTTTGCAGCTCTGCAGCAGGGAGGTGACAGATCGGGAGCAGAAGAGATAACGGGATTTTATTTTTTTTTCCGGCACCGCTCATCCCCCTTTCCTCAAGGACACATCGGCAGCAAGAGCCAAAACAGCCGCCCCGGAGCCCAAACAGCCCCAGCTGCCCCAAGGACGCGCGGCCGCCGAAGCAGATTTTCCAGCCGAGTTTTATACGGCAGCGGCGGGAGCTCGGGGTTATGGCACGGCACCGGGTTTGGGGACAACCTCCCCATCCCCAGCCCAGGGCATCACCATCCCTCACCCCCTCGTTGTACCCCCAGCCCCAAAAATTCCCCATCTGCTCCTGCAAGTCCTGAAAGACACTCCGGAGAAGCTGAGTTTTCCAATGTTTTATTTGTGTTTTGAGATTACAGAGTCTTTATTGCTGATCTAATACAATCACTCAGACATTAATATTTAAAACATCCTTTTGAAAATGTTACATTTGCAAAGTTTTCATTTCCTCACTGCAGGCTGATGACAGGTTTTGTCTTATTATTTCTAAAGTTCAGAACAGAATTAATTTCCTTATACAATTTTGCTGGTGTTACCTAAATCTCCTTTTTCCTAATTCTTTAAAAATGTGTTACATTAAAAAAAACCCAACAAACAAACAACCCATTACACATTTAATTTAGAGATGATCACAGAATATGATTCCAGATTGATTAGGAAAAAGCCAAGCAAGCAAAAAAGCTTACAGAGGAAGCAGAACGACATGGAGAAGAGCCTTAAAAATCGAGGTGGGAAAAGCCAGTTGGGATTTTATTATTAATTTTTTCTTTTTCTCCTATCTACCTGGAAGATAAAACGGGCTTAAAAATCGGCACAAAGGAATTCACGGATGAGGACAGCACCACCGTATGCTGTGCAAGCGACAGACACGGGGGAGGTAAGCGACTGCGTGAGCTGTACCGAAGGGTCACGCGAATGGAGAGGGATTTTCCTGGGGCAGAAGTGGCTGCGGTTGGGATGCCTGTTTTCCAAAAGCTGCCTTGCTCAACATGACCCCGCAACCATGTTTCACCTCGACTGAGAGCAGGATTTCACGCTGCACCTCTGCAGAGAACAACAGAAACTCTGGGGTTTTGCTGTTGATGGAGACCAAGGTACTCTGGCGCGGGGAAAGACCCAAATGTGACATTTCAAGTAGCTCAGGGGACTCTTCCCAAAAATCCCAGGATGTGGATAAAATTCATGAGTGAGTAGAGATTATTTTGAGTTTGTGGTTAGTGATCAGTCTTATCAGTCTTCTCAAAGCTCTAAGGTATTCGCAAGGTCTTCTCAAAGTCTCCTCAAAGCCTTCTCAAAGCCCTAACTTCTCCTCAAAGGCCTAACATCTCCTCAAGGTCTTCTCACCGTCTTCCTTCCAGGCTTTGAGAAATTTCAAAGAGAAATTTGGAATATGCAAGCATACGAGAACGTTTGCTCCAAAGACGAGCAGCTTGTGGTCAAGCTGACTTCAGACCTCAGCATCAAGAGCCACGAGAAGGACTTGGCCATCAAGACCGTAATTCCACAGTTTTTCCTTTCTTGTGCGTGAATGACCTGCCACAAAAGAGTTTTTCCTGACGGCAAAGAGGTCCGTGAGGACAAAACAAGAATCTGTAGCTGATGAGGAACTCGGGATACCAAAGCAGCAACCGCAGGATAAAGGCTTTGTGCTCACGGGGTTGGGCAATTTTATTTTAGAAGGACCATGTTCTCCATGTGAACCATAACAGTGACTCTTATGAGACACAGAGACTTCGAAAGTCACCTGGGTAAGTGTGCCGTGCTGTCCACAGCGTACAGGTGGGACATCCTGGTCTAAAAAAGAGTAATGGCAAATTTGTTCTCCATTGGCTCTGATGCATCAAGATTTGAGGTGATCAAAGGGTTTTAGTGATGCTGAACTCTTCCCTGCACACAAAATCAGGGTGGGGATTACTCTGGTGTACGTCTCATACACTCAAAGGGGATTTCCAGATTTTATCGTACAAATATTACTAGAAAATAAAACTCCAAAGATTTCCATTGAGGACTGAAATTCAGCTGGAGAAAGACCTCGCATGGACACGGGTCCTCCCAGCCAGGATGGCCGACGAGCTCTGCTTTGGGTTTGGAAGAGCTCCCCGACATGTGAGCAGCATTTGTCAGCGAGGTTGCAAGGCTCTTCCACCAGCACGGGCACACGAGGCTGCCCTGTAGCCCCACCGGGAATACAACTTTGGTTGAACCGTAGGAGGTTGGCACTCGTAATGTAAGCAGCAGGAAAATACTGCGGAGCTGTGATGAAGGGAGCGATGGTGGGTCCTACCCCACCACCACGTCTGCCTCCGAGCGGGCACCACTCTGCCCTCCCGGCTCCTACCGCGCGCTAGGGGCTATCCCTGGCTGACCCTAACGACCGGACCCTTCGTTACAGCTTTCAGCAGTGCTAAGGCGAAGTTCACCGACTTTCTGGCAGAACCATCCCTCGGCCAGGTCGGCAGAATTACGAGAGGTTTCTCCAGTGATTGCCGGCGAGATTTTACCGCTTCGCTGCCAAGGTGGCACCTAGCTGGTCAGCAGCGCCTGGAGCAAATGAGGTTTTTAGCTGCGTTGTCAAATGGCATGAGAAATGCAAACCCAGTCGCCCTCCGGCTGGCTCTCACGGCTGCCAGGATCCCACTCCACTGGAAGAAGCACTGGGATGCGAAGGAAACCAAAAGCAACGTGTGACCTCGAAGTCAGATCCCACGGCTCCCGTCGTGCACATCGGATTAACGGTGACAACGGACTACTCCAAGTACATTGCAGCGATTCGATTCCACCAGCTTCCCCCTCACCTCCCTCATCCTCCCAGCCCCGAAAAAGAACAACCCAAAGAGAAAAATGAAACAAACGGAAAGAAATCCACCGTCTCCCAGTCCTGTGGCAGTACGAACACCAGTGGCAGAGGCCGCATGTACAGTATTCTAATTTAATAAATAAATAACCTAAACACACTGTCTACTATGTGAGCAAGCTCAGCTCTAACTTAGGAAGCTTGCGCTGTTTCATCCTGTACAGTAGTTGAGAAAAGACTTGGGTTCTTGTTCCTCGCGATTCTCCGGGATACAGCGGCAGGAACTTAGTATCTGGGGAAAAGAAGAGAAAATGAGGTTTTGGTGAGGAGCTGGGCAAGAGATGCGAAGCTCCCCCAGCATCAAGACGGTGTATTTTGGGAGGGGTAGATAACAAGAAAAGAAATTATTTAGAAAGGGACTCGGTCCTCATCTCCTCCCCCACAAATACCACATTATATTTAGCCGCCTGCCCTCGCTGCTTGAACACCATCTCTCGCTTCGAGTACAGGAAGGGGAAAATTCAACGGCACCCGACTGATTCAGGGACCGAGTCCCACCGCTCTGCAGCAACATCTGCTCAGAAACCGCGGAGGATGCGCTAAAGGTACAAGAGCAAATGCCTTAAACACCGAAGCCTGGCTCAGATTGGCTGAATTTATCAGGAAGGCTGCTGTTAGGCTGGGAACTAAAAGCAGACTAATTCATATTGCAAACAAAGCTACATGTAGGGAGAGAGAAGTGCTTGTTTTAACAAAGCAAGCTGTTGAGCTGCACGGGGATGAAGTCAAATTGCCTGTTATATCCAGAAAAAGAGGCTATGTGCACCTGGAGATCTCCTCCCGCCTCCCATCCTACGCCCCTACACATCAAAGTAGGGAACTTTGGAAAACTTGACTCTTTGCCTTTTGTATCGGGAGGCTTTATTTCCTGCAGGACATCAAGCCGAAGCTGTCCGAGTACATCTCAGCCCCATGGCACACGTGGGGTGTTTGAGTCGGTGTGGCTCTCCCTCGATGCAGGGAATTTGCCGTGACCCTCTACTTATCCCAACGTCTCCATGTGTGGGACAAACCACGCTCCCCGCAAGGTCAGGACTACAACCAGACACTGAAACTAGGCAAAGAAAACTGAACTGGAGGAAATCCCTCCATAGGAGGGCACAGCCATGCAGCAGCACCATAAGTTTGCATGTAACACAGGGCAGGGAAAAAAAAGCTCAGGCTCTGGCAAAACGCACTAAACCCCCAAACTGGAGCTTTTTGGTGCAGCGTTGCTCTCGTATGAGTGCTGAAGACCTGCACACCAGGAAAATGCCTTTTCCTGCAAGAAAAGGATCTGGGCTTCAACCTCCCGACAAGCTGATCTGTGTTTGTGCAAATCCATTTCATTTTCACGGTAAAAAAATGTGTTACAGCATTGGCTACAAACACAAGCCTGGAAAGGGAAGTGATCCAGGGACTCACATTGAGAATTATTATTATTTTGGGGGGATCAGCCTGGCCGGCACTGGGGGAGGAGAGCCATCGAGCCAAGCCTGTCCAAGCAGCCCCCGGCGCAAGGGGCAAACACTGCTCTGTGCCATCTCATCCTTCGTCAAACTTTAAAAATAAAGCTGTCATCTGAGTTGGCTGGATGGCATCACTCTGCCATTTGCCACGTCTGGGTGACAGCTGCTGCCAGACACAAAGGGCTCGTGTCCTGCCAAGCGCTCTGCGTCACAGCTCCAACCGCGCCATCCCCTTCCCAACCGGACCACTTTCTACGAGGCGATGGGAATTATCAGAAAGCCCATGGTATCTTCTCAGGGGACTGGTGGGATTAAACGCTGTCCCCTCTGCCCCTCCCTACGTGTACCCCACATGTACCCCACACTCATGGCAGAATAAAGAGAGAGGTTGTGGAGCAGTACCTGTAGTAGTTTGGTTTGAAAGGTCCGTTCTTATTCAGCCCCAGGTATTTTGCTTGTTCATCAGTTAGTTCTGTCAGGTGGGCATCGAACGTTGGGAGGTGAAGGCTTGCCACGTACTCGTCTGAAACAATTTCAAGCCTCGTTAGTAGGGGAAAGGGAAGGCAAGCAGTCCCCTCCCACTGTACACCAGTTCCCTAAAGCCCCAGCTGGGAAAGGCATTGCTCCTCACACATTTGCTGCTAAATTGCAGGACTGCTTTTCACCCTGAATGAGGAAAACCAAGGCTCTCACCTGTTTTGAGTTAGAAGGGAAAAACCTTTCTCTGAAATACCCTTCTAGCAGGACTCCTGGGTCTGCTGCTGTGTTACACCGTACCCTTGGGCAAGCTTGGGTGCTCTACTGATGCAGGAGCCACTGGACGTTTCTGGTAGGTGATGCCGAATGCCCAAGCTAGGGACAAGCTGTCCCTGGTCTCAAAAAATACAATTAAGGCAAAAAAGTCCAGTTTTGCAGCAAAAGCATGGTCAGTGTAGCTTGTGTCCTCATGAGGGGGTTCTGCTGGCAGAGCTGTGGGTCAGGGACTATGTGTCTTTGCAGCCAACGAAGGCGGCTCTGCTGGCAGAAGCTCTACACGAAAATCCCCTGCATCACTGCGGATGGACTCCTGCAGTCGGCTGAGTGTGTCAGCCTGTTTTCCCCAGGTGGGACAGAGAAACAACGCGTCCAATTTAGCGAAGAGCCCAGACCTGGTGGGAAGAACTTGCTAGAGGACCCTGAGCTTGGCAGGGAGGCAAACAAGAGACCCCGGGAGGCTGTGCTGCCCTGCCGTCCTCAGCCCAGCCTAGCAAAACCTCCCATCTGTTCAATCTCAAAACCAAAAAAGAGAAGGCAATGAGTACATCTTTACCCATTTTCTTAGGCAGCAAGTACACATCTTGCTTGTAGCGGCCTTCGGGAGCGTTGTACAGCTCTATCAAAGCCAAAGCCTGGATGGAGAAGTAAGGTAAGTACACTTAGGTAAGTAACTGCTGCCCGCTATGGAGCGAGACGCTGCTTTCGGCTCAGCCCAAACCCTACTCGCCTGCGTGGTGGCAGTGATGGACAAGACGAAGGTGGGGACAGTGGAGCAGCTCAGGTTCAGCAGGCGGCCCTGGGAAGCAAAAACTGGTTGTTACCTCAACACAGCACCAAAACCACTTTACAGCCCTACAGAACGTACAGGAATCACCAGTGAAATGCGTCCCTTCTGGGAGGGAACAATATTTATCACATGCACTTGAATCCCAAGATGTTGGTTGCCCTTATAACTCAGTAAAACTATTTAGAAGTGAAAATCTGATAAAATACCCTGTGGAAGATACCCTGGAGTGGGATAAAGGAAAACGCAGGAGCTTTTCTGCGTTCCAGTAAGTCATGGGCCAAATTAGGATTACACCAAGCCTTTCAACCAGAGGGACTATTGAGCTGCTGAAGCCCGAGGAGGTGATTTTTGGACATTCTTTGGCTCCACGGCTGATTCAGCTCTTGTTTTCTTCCCCTGCAAGCAGAGAACAGGTTGCAATTCCTGTTCTTTTGCCTGCAACTCACCTCCGCCAGAAGGACTATTCTCTTCCCATCTGGCCAGATGACATGGTCCACCTGGGACCTCACCCTCTCCCAGGTCAGCTCAGGTGTACGCAGGCTTGCCTGAAACACAGTGTTAAAATAGTTAAAGCACTGGCAAAAGATCAAAACCCAAAAGCTACATAATAGGAATGAAAAGAGGAAGCAACTCGCTGACGTTGTCCTGGGCTTATAGTTTCCTTTGGGTCCGGTCACAGTCTCAGACCAATGAAACCTTTATGAATCATAACCTGGAACTATTTTTGTGATTACAATACATCAAAGCTCCAGCAACGACTATTGTTGAAGCTCTTCTGGCTGAAGAGGATTCATGGTCACCAACCGAACTCTGCATGGCTGTGGTCACTTCTTTCCAGCACAGAAAATGGCTTTAAACCCATCAGTTTGGCCGAGCAATTCTCCACTGACCTTCAGACAAGACTCTCCTGTTTTTCTACTCATTTCTAAGCACAGATGAGCAGATTTCAGTGCCGTTCGGTAAAGCGCGGTGGGGTTGAGCATGCTGTGTTGCACCAAGCTGAACTCTTGGCTGGGTCTTAATGGTATAGTAGTAACACGAAAGCAGAGGGACTGGGCTGGAGAGGGTGATTCACTGACTCTCTAGGGGAAGGAATGAGGCTGGTGGACACCAGACACTACGCTGGACGCTGGAGCAGTTTGTCTGGCTTGCTGGCATCCTTTGGGATCACAGGAATGACGATGACATACCTGAGAATGTCTGCTGGGACACGGGGAGCAATGGATTATTTTATCTCCTCCCAGAGATAAAAGCAGCACGGGTCACACATAGCTGCTGAAGGGTCCCAAAAACACCGTCACCCCACCCCGTGCACATCCCTGCGCTCACCACGTCGATCTCGGTGTTGGAGTGCCCCATATTGCAGACGATGCAGCTGTTCTTCATCCGATCCAGGTGTTCCCTGGTCACTACGTTCTTGTTGCCTGCCAGACAGAAAAATCCGTAATAAATCCCCATGTTCACTTTCCCCATCTTTTTGCCTTTTCCTTTGGAAAAAGATGGACCCAATTATGGGGTGCGCATCCCTGATGACCTGTCCTCCTGCCTTGGGGACTGCGTACCTGTGCAGGTGATGACGATGTCAACTTGTCTGATGACTTCATTGAGTTTCACGAGCCGGAATCCATCCATGCTAAGAGGAGAAGAGGGGGAAAAGTAGTCTGAGAAGCAGCAAAACCATGCCAAAAATAGAAAAAAAAAACATCAAGTGATTCTCAGATACTCATTTTAACTTTCTAATGCCAGAGTGGGACACAGCAACGCAGCATGCAAAGGGCCACATACCCCAAGTCATTAGGAGGGTTTCTGGAGTCAACCTGGAGGATTTGGGACTGTTGTGGGGAGAAGTGAAAAGAGATTTTGGGGGTTTCACATTTTCTGTCAGGGCCTCCACATCTGCAAATCTCAATTTTCAACGGAGACGGCTTTTTGAAAGCTGCTACTCCTGCAAAGTACAGCCAGAAGATGTAGATACGCCCTCCTGCTGCAGAAACCTTTCTGATACGGATTTAGATCATCTTAAAAACAACCCAAATCACCCAAACCCCACATATGTCTGCCATTAACTTTGCAATCCATATTTAGGCACCTACGCGATCTTTAGAAGTGCTGAGCACTCAGCAAGTCTTTCCTGACTTCACCAAGCAAGGTGTATTCAGTGCATAGGATAACAAGGGCAGGATTTTTTTTAGGATTTGTTGACAGTCCTCCCGAGAACTTATTTCCATGACTCTCACAAGCTGCAAAATCGTAGTTACTATAAAAAAAAAATAATTTTTTTCTGCTGTATGTCCCATTTACTGTTTTTTTCCCCCATTGCAAACTCCTTACAAGAGGGGCCGTATGGTGTTGCCTCGTGCAGAGTCAGGGAAGGGGTTGTTGCAAACGACCAAATTCACAATTAAGGATGCAGGTGCTGGATGTGCCACTTGTGAAGGTTGCAAAGCAAACCAGAAGTTGATCAGCTCTGCTAATTAAGCAGGGCTCATTAGTTTCCTCACCGCAATAGCCCTTTGAAAGCTTTCTGTTAGGAAGAGGCTGCGGGTTTAATAAGGCTCCTGGTGTTTTTGGGACTCTGCTTTCATAGTCATGTCCCATCTCGCACCTTGGGCTGCAGAAGCAGCATCTCTGCACCAAAACAACCTTTACCTGGAGGAAACGAGGTCAGGTATAATTGCAACGTGCCCGCGCGAGGGGAGAGCCGTGTGCTTTCAGCCCTGCAGCAGGGTACCGGCATTAGCGAGGAGAGGTTTGTGAGGGGCACATGATCACAAAAACCAAAATATCCCTCGGGTGAGGTGTGTGCACAGCACAGTAAAGCCCGAGTTCGCACTCCAAAGGTCACAGCTCACTCCCAACATCCTTTCAAGCCATACCATTAAACTCTTGGCCACTGTGGTTATGATTATGCAAGCTGGCACGTGGGATACAGATAAACTGGGTAATGCTTTAGTGCAGGAACCCTTTCCTGGCCGTAGGAGAGAGCTGTGGGTCCCTCTGAGGGTGCGGAGAAGCCACGAACCCCTCACCAGCATCCCTCTTGAGAGGGACCACAGCTGACTGGTTTCTGGCCGAGGTTTTCCTGGGAAAACAAAAAAAGCCTGAAGAAGAAGCCGGGCTCGGTGCGACTGCTTACCAGGCCTGGAGGGCACAGATCGGATCGATCTCTGTCACGTACACTATGGAGCCCATGGCCTTCAAAGCAGCACAGCAGCCCTTTCCAACCTGGGGAGGGAGAAGAGCACAGAGGAAGAGTGAGATGCCGAGAGCTCAGGAGGTGCCGAGCGTCAGTACGGCCATGGGAAGTGTATAGGGACTGTACAACTCTGGGTGTCTCTTCTGCAGCCCCAAGAGCCCTTTGCGGCCCTCTTAGCAATGCTGGTTGCACATACTTAATTTCTGGGTGCAGGAAATTCCTGGACTGGGAATAATCTAGGACCTGAGTCAGGGACAGCTTAGCTAGGAGAAGCACTAAAAAATATAAAAGTGCCGCTGATTTTCGTCCCAGGGAGTTCTTTTTCCCCCAAAACATCCTGGTATCTAGAAAGCACCATGATAACGAGAGATTACACTTATCTCAGGGAACGTTTAAGAGTCTCTTGTAACCTTTACTCTATTTAGGAAGCTTAACGGTTTAATCTCCGAGGGTTAATGAGCTTTAACCTTTACACAGCACATACAGTGCAGCTCGCAGGGGAATTCAGGGAAACGGTTAAATGACCAAGTGTTCCCCAAAAATGCAATTACACACGAGCAAATTGTCCCATTTCAGCTCTTTGGGAAAAAAAAAAAAAAAAAAAAAGAGTCCCAGTAGGGCACCTACAGCACAGCCCACCATAACTTGTGTTCATTGGTCCCAATAAGAACTGCCAAAGGGTGAGTATCCCAGTCTTGCCTCAAGAGAGGATTCCTCTGTTTGGGGGTGAAAGCACAGGGGAAAGTCAAAATTAACTCATTTTTCTTGACCACGCTTCAACATGCAATGTTGCAGCTGCACAGTACATCTGCAGAACCCTGCCTCTGAATATTTTAATATTATATCAAATAGAATATAATATATAAATATAAAAGATAATATTAATGGATGAAATATTAATATCTGGATATGTCAATATTCAGGTATTAAAGATATTCAGAATACTTAATACTCATGTCTTTTAAGATTCAGGTTTGGTATCTGTGTAATACTATAGAAATATACTGGAAATCAAGAAAATCTTCAGTTTTGGCGAACCCGTCAGGTTTGAAGATACCTGCAGATGCAGAGAAAAGCCACAAGGGCAGAAAAGCCCCATCGGATAAAGCCATGCAAAGGATGTGATGATTTTACATGCAGCACCTGCATGTAAAATATGAACCCCTTACCTCCCCGTAGCCACAAACTACTACTTGCTTTCCTCCAAACATCATGTCTGTTGTCCTTTTAAGGCTAAGGAAAAAGAAAAAAAACCAATTAAAGACCAGCAGTAAGATCTATTCCACTTACGACGCTGTGAAGGACAGTGGTCTTTCTCCGTTTGCCCCTCCTAAACACCATGGTTGTACCTGTATCCCTAAGGACACGCAGCAATTCTGGGTGCAGAGAGGACCCAAAGGGCACTTAAAAACTGATTTTTTCTTTTGGTAAGGGTGGGTGCTACCAGTGAAATGCAAAAAAGAGGAAGGATTTGGGGTTTGGATCCCTTTTTTGTGTTGGTTTTTTTTTGTTGGATCCCTTTGTTTTGGTATTCCAGAAATATTTAAAATCTTTTAAAAATATTTTTTTTCTTAATTTTTTTTTAAGTCAAAATGCCCCACAGAAATAACTACAGAAGAAGCAGGAAAGTGGTAATTTATTGCCAGAATCCCAGTGCTTTCCACAAATAAAGCTCTCCCTTCCACTCGGTTTCCTTCTGGTTTCTCCCTAAGAGTGTCCTACATTATAGGCTATTTTTAGCACATGAGTAAATAGGTTAGCAGTGCAGGGAAGGTGAAATTCCCTTACATTTCCAAAAGAATTTAGATAAAAAACACAGCAGATTTAATCGCACCTCTGCTCAGATTTCCCTTGGCCCAGTTTTAGATGCCTTGGCCAGACTTAACCCAAATCCCAACTCACCTACCCATGAGGTCCATCATCTATCACAACTGAAGACAACAAGATAAAGAAGATTTTAACATTTCCTAGCCACCAACAACATCCACTACACATGGAACACGGAGCTAAAAGTTGTGTCCTCAACTAAAAATTTGGGGGCAACTCTTCACCAGGCAGCCGACCCCCATGACAGAGGCTGCCTTGTGTGCCTTGAATCCTGTGACCATAGAGCAGAGACATCGCTGTAATAAAGCAGGAAGGGCTACTTAATTAGGAGAATTACTTCATCAAGATGTTTTCCTAGAATCACAGAACGGTTTGGGTTGGAGGGGACCTTTAAAGGTCACCTAGTCCAACACCCCTGCAATAAGCAGGGACATCTTCAACTAGATCAGGTTGCTCAGAGCCCCGTCCAACCTGACCTGGAATGTTTCCAGGGATGGGGCATCGACCACCTCTCTGGGCAACCTGGGCCAGTGTCTCACCACCCTCATTTTTCCCATTATTGCCTCTAGCAAAGCCCAGTTAGCAACGCATTGCATCTCAGAGTACACTGCTCCACATCATAATTTCACAGATGGTACATATTTTGGAGACCAGCTGATAATTTTGATCGAAATTTTCCAGTTTTGACGGGCAGGAAGACCAAGAAACCACTGGCTGTTTGCAGTGTCAGGTTCTGGCTCATGTAATAAAACATCTTGGCAGGGAAGTGCCAGATACCATCACTGCTGGACTTGACAAGGAGCACAAAATTTAGTCTTTCAGAACAACATGCGATGGAAATCTGAGGAAGAAACTGCACATGCAGTAGATCATCCAGAGAAGCATATTCGGTGGTTTGCTAACTCATATGGCACTTGCACGCTTCTTAAAGATCGTCTTCATGCCCCTGTATTTGGACACACAGGTTTTACAAACATGAGTCTTCTTCACCTCTCCTGGTCAAGATGACCACTACCAGGAAGACCGCTTCAAAGCCGACGTGACACAGCACTCTACTCATATCCCACAAAGATTTGGGTGAAAGACCTTAAAAGCACAGTCCACCATTCCCCATGTAGGGAAGCCTACATTGGGTCTCTAAGAACCTCTGGTCCTACCAGATTGAAGGCAACGGTAGCACAGCTGAACACCAATAGCACTGCCAGATGGACTTTTAATAAACAGGAGACATTTCTACGTCTGCAAGGAACTGAGAATGGCAGATCTCAAGACTTGTTTAAACTTTAAGCCATACCAAATTATCAACATTAAAAAAGCCTTTTCTCTTGAAGCACACAGTCTTCTCCATGGAGGGTTCCTCCTCCACACCACAGCTACCTGGGACAGAGCAGGCAATCTTTCCTCTGATATTCATCTCATCAGCATCAACGCCAGTCCGGAAAGTCACATTTGTCCTTGCTTCTGTGCAGACTTGTCTACTGGGACCACTACCAGATGAAATATGTCACAGTCCACTCATCCGAACCGTACAAATAAAACTTGTCCTAATCTCATTTGCCTGTGACAAAATTTGGCAGTCGGGGTGGTGGGGACACAGATACCCAATTCCATCAAAATAAAGAAAAAAAACAGAGAGGGAAAAAAAAAAAGATCACCAAGATTTACACACTCTCTAGATCACAACTTCAAGTATTTTGCACTGCATCTCAAGACCTACAGTCTCAGAAGATACATCATGTTCCCGGTGCCCACGTATCCGTCAGCAACTGATTCCCATCCGATCCTAAAAAGTACAGCACCATCAGGATGCTGCAGAGCTGCTCCCAGTCCCACGGTCTGCCTGCTGGGATTTTTGGGGGGAGGGAGCACAGAGGGAAGCAAACACTCTTCTGCTTGCTTGTATAGCATGTGGCTGTAAATCCTGCAGGACCGGGGTGGGGAGAGGTGGATAAAGCAGTCATCAGCCCTGTCACTCCCACCTTCCACACCTATTTATTTATGCTTAGCTGAAGGACAGGGTTTAATCCTCAGACTCAAGTCTACACTTTGGACACGCAACTGTTATGGGATAAAGTCTCGGTCTACCAGAACCTCTTCTGTTTTCTTTCTTTTGGTTTATTGTATATTCACAGAAGATAAAAAAAGGAAACTAGAAAGGCAAAAACTGTTGTGAGGAAGCTGCTGGTTGACTCAGACACACGCAACAGACACAGATGGGTTTTATCCTGATGCCACAAAGGTCAGAAGGACAGGAGGGAGTACTATAGCTATATGTGAGGACTTCTGAAGTCCTCACACGGGAGTACGAGAAGCTGCAGGGCTTGAAGGCAGCTCCAGTCATGCTCACCGAGGAGGGAAAAATGCATGCAAGTCACCTACACACATGGAAGGGCAACATCACCCTGAGAGCACAAAGCACAAAACCACAAAGTGCCCTTGAAAGGCACTGGGAAGTGTCTTGTATCGCTATGGCTAATAAAATACCTGATGTGTCTTCCAGACACTCTGGGAAAAGAGAAGATATGCTTTCTACAAAAAGAGGAGCAGAGGCAGAATTTAAGTGATGTGCCCCGTTCACACATGCAGCTGGGTTAAAAATATTGAAGCCAGACTTCCTAGAGGTGCTAACATCTTTGCTGCAAGATCATTCTGCTACAAACACAAGATTCAACGTTTGTTTTCTGCTGTGCATATGTTTGTAGAGCTTTACATACAATTGTACAAATAAGTCTTAGGGCCTTCTGACCCATAGAGACATAGCTGCTCTCTCAAAATGCCTTGCAGATTCCCATCTTTGATAAAAACAGGATGGAGCAGAGGTAATAAAGGGTCTTTGTTCTCCTCTGTCACATCAATTGATCTAAAATGATCTAAAGTGGCAGGTAGGACAGATCCATGGACCCAGTTCACTGTGGGGTCCAGTGCAACCCAAGCAAGGGACACAGCTCCGTTTGGGTGGCCATGTACATACCCGTCCAGGATGGACTCTCTGCAGCAATACAGGTTGTCAAACTTCTGCTTTGTGACCGAGTCGTTGACATTCATGGCTGGGACGCAGAGCTTCCCTGCTTTGGACAACTGATACAGCCTGTTACGAATACGGGAAGAAACAGGTGATCAGTGGAAAAATATTTCCCTACACTCTACTGTTGTGTGCTCTCGAGGTCTTGTTTTGCTGGAGTAAGCAGTACCCATCTGGAGGCTCAAAGAAAACCTCTTAATAGGAGCTCCTCATTTCTGGAGGAGAAACAGCACTCTTCCCTCCACAGATGTTTATATCTGTTTTCCTCCCCTACTGAAGAACTACCAGTTTGGCAAAAGGCATTTCATAAAAATGTCAAATAGCAGGTCAGAAGGTGCTCAAAACAACACGTGCCTTATAACTGTTGATATTACAACCGTCCTCTGATGTCCTCAAAAGGACAAAAACCCCAAATCCTGCTTCAGATAACATAAGATGAGAGCTCATGTAATTCCTCAAGCTCTTACAGCTCAAGACAAATAGCAATGGCCACAGAAGGCTGACACTCACAGCAGCGTGAAGCTGCTGTGATCAACACCTGCAGCAAAACATCCATCTGAACAGCAGTAGGAGCGTCATCACCGAGACGTGGTGCAAGAAACAACCAGGGTGGGGAAGACATCAAGCTGACCTCCTACTTCTGAGAGCAGACTCAACTCCTGGCAGCAGCAAAAACACTAAAAATGAATTTAAACGCTAAACTACAGCTATGAAGAGAATCTGAAAATCACCTCCCTGCTCCAGACCTCAGGAAGGAGAACATGCTCCCTTGGTCAGTCTCTACAGACCACCTCCAGGTTTCTCCCCAGTCTCTCTTTGTCATCTGGGGAGCCTCAGTCCCCACACTGTCTGTCCCCTGGAGGCAATGGGCACGCATTCCCCGCACGCATGCATCTATACCACCAACCTCAGAAAACAACCTCACTCCTGGCATGAGAACGTGGGGAACAGTTTTTAACATTGCTTTGGTTTTGCACATCTCGTTTGCCCATATTAGGAATGATTCCCAATACTAAAAATTTTATCGGGTCCTTTTCTTGACCCCACTGGCTGCAAACCTGAATCGGTCGCTTCCTTGTTTCAAATATTTCGTTTCCCTGTTTCAAGGGCTGCCTGCACCTCTGGCCAAACTCTCAGCGAGCTCCAAGAGCTGCAGCCAAGCCTTTCTCCCTGCAAAAATAAATAAAAAAGCAGAATCTGTTGTTCTTCTCCTCAGTCCCCTATTTTCTGTCACCTGTGATACAATTAACTCCACTGGAAAAGCACTTCTGATACCTCTCCTAATCCTAGGAGCCACTTCTCCCATCACAATTCTGCTTCTGCCGCAGACAGATGGATGTCACTCAGTCATACGGCTGCATCTTTGTGGTTCTCCCTTTCTGCACTCCCACCCCAACTAGAGACTCATTTCCTCTTCCCAAATCTCACTTCTTCCCGTACATTTAGTTTGGGACTACACTTTTGACTTTCTCCAAAGCCCACCCCTTCCTGTGCAACACCCTCAGCCCTTCCTTTTTTCACCTGCAAAATGAGGTGAGGTAACCATTGCCCCTATTTCACAGGAGGAAAAACAAGACCTCGTGCACTTTTTCCACCCACACAATGGTCAGTAGCTGCCTCTCCTCCTCATCTGAAATTCAGAGCAGTGGTTCCAAGTTGCTTTCACTATATGAGAGATTTAAAACAGTTCTTATGGAAAAGCTAAGCCCAAGCTGAAGGAAAACCACAGACTGTGTATTAGGAGGTTCGACATTCAGCCGAGTCTGTGGCATCTTACAGCTTGGGGATCTTTTGCTACAGGTGCCCTGAGGCAGAAGATGGTCTTTTTGTCCCAACATCTCCGTACTCACAGTCCAGCCTGTCTTGTTACCTGTGGACACCAGTCACGCTCTCCTCTACTATCCCCTTGATCTTCTTAAACATGTTGGGATATTTCTTGTAAATCCAGTGAGTGAGATCGCCTCCATCATCCAAGATCTGTAATAAAAATAACCACAAAGTCACTACTCTGAAGATCCACTAAGGCCTGCTGACCCCAAAAAGGTACAAGGGATAAATCACATGCTCAAATCATTCCTAATCAAGCCCATGTTTTGGCATTTCAGATACCACATTGTGACAGCTTAGTGAGACTACTCTGCTTGACTATTCAGAGCAGGAGTGCTGCTTCATCAATATTGTGCTGGAAAGGCAACAGGTCAGACAAACACGGCAGACCTTGATGTTTATAATGAGACCAGAGGAAATGTGGGAAACAGCTGTGGAAGCTCCGCTCTCCCCATCTCCCAGAAGCACAGATGGAAAAGACTTTGAACCATACAGAGTCATCAGGTTTTCTAATATAACTGCTAATGGAGGAGGATAGAGAAGGAGGAGGATGGAGAAGGAGGATGGTGCAGAGCCACTAATGCCAATTATAATGTAATTGCATCATAAAACACTACATATTAAAAATGCTGAACCTCTTTTAGACAACAACTTTGGGTCTCTGCCCATTTCATCTGGCCTTGAACCTCAGTCTCAGAAGCACAAACTCCTTCTTTATCAGATCATGAGTCTCCTGAGCCACCCATTTCCTCCTAATGACACATTTCAGGGCGGTGGAGAAAGCCAAAGACTTATAGCTTTAATAAAAACATTGAAGATGAGCAAGTAAAGGTGCCCTTTGAAAAAGTGCCTTGGAAAGGACAGACATGAAAACAATTTGGTCACAGAAATCTAAAAATTGCAGTGAAAAGAGATGTCTAAGAGCTTGTCTATTCTCTGCTGGTGAGAATATGCATAGGTGTTTTCCAGCACATGGAAACGCACCTGGTAATGGCTTTGGACACGAAAGTCGTAACACTGCTAAAAATCTAACACGTATGTCTAGATGCACCTTTGCATGGGTTGACGTTATTCAGGTATTTTTGTGATGTGCTATAGTGTCACCAGGATAATCAAAGACTTTAAGCCAAGGCTTATTTTTTACCTCTGTAAGTACAGAATCTCTGATAATTACAGAAAATCTCACTGCTGGTGATAGCCAGTGGAGTTTCCTAGAAGTCTTGTTTGTGTCCTACACGCTTTCCTCTTAATGAACGTGGCCCCAGTCCCAACCACTTTGGGTCATCCCCTGCTGCATCTCAACACACAGCCATACCCAAGGAGGGCGCTGAGCTCTAAATGCTTCAAAGACGGACACACTGGGGTGCCATAAAGAGGTGTCTGGGAAAGAAGAAAAGCTACAAGGAAAGAAAAAAATGAAACACGTGCATTTCCCCGAGTCCTCCCACCACTCAGGTGGCCTCAGGTGGCCCAAGCAGTGCCCAAGCACGGTGGGAAGTGTGACAACCCCCATTAGAATCAGACTCAAAAGAAAACAAGGAGCAGACTTCACTGAGCGGCAGGTGAAGTGCCAAGGACCTTTGCTAGCTGGGCTGGTTGAGAGCACATTGGCCCATGTTATTATTATCATCATCCTCCTCTTTGCCTGTTCCCTACACCAATGTCAGACCTCTGACTGCATCATCATGATCCTCCTCTTTGCCTGTTCCTTACACCAACACCGAAGACTTCGGACTGAATCACCGTCATCATTATACTCCTCTTTGCATGTTCCCTATCGTCATTATCATCATCTTTGCATATTCCCTACACCAACAAAGGCTTCTGACTGCATCATCTTCATCACCTTTGCATATTCCCTACATCAACGTCAAAGACTTCTGACTGGATCATCATCATCCTCCTTCTTCTTCTCTTTGCATGTTCCCTACACCAGTGTTCAAGAGTTCTGACTGCCAAGCCAGTCCTCATTAACCTACTGGTGTGGCATGCAGGTGTCCTAAAATGCAAATGTGAAACCTGGGCAGAAGCATCTCTGCTCGTTGGCCGGTGGTGCAGCTCGACAGAGACCTTCTGTCACATGCGTCTGCAGCTCTCCCACCAGCATCTGCAGCCACCCAGGAAAAATTAACACTCCCACTACGCTCCTGCGGCAGAAGCCCCATTGCGGGCACGAAGACAACGCTCCTGAGCTTTGTCACGACATGACGTGGTGGCTTCATGGAGCCGCCACACTGACATCCATGGGCACAGAGTTACTTGGAAATGCTATGTACTATAGCAACCTTTTTCTCTCCGAATTGTGGGATTTTCCACTGAAGGCGAATGCTGTGGGTAGCAGCTGCTCCTCCACCAATGTCTGGAAAGCACATAGTGTCCTGCCAGAGCACAGCACACATCTCCCACGCAGACCCGACTCTTGAGTCTCCAGGGAACCCCCAGATCCAGCTCCCGTTCACAGGCTGGGAAGCGGAGGCAGGTAAGGGTTAAATGGGCTGAGAAACTCTCCTGGGCCAGCCGAGGTAGGAATTCAGCAGCCTGGCTCCCAGGACGTCTTCATTTCATTAATCCCTGTTTAATAGGGCACATAATCCTCTTTCTAAGAGAGAATTCTGGGGGCTGGCAGTTTCCTCTTTCCTAGGAGGGCAGGAGATGAAAAAAACCCAAACCAAATCAATGGAGGAACTAGTTTTTGATGGAAGGTCACCTTTGTGTAGCAGCCCCGAACGGCCAACGGCAAAGCCCGTGGTATGTGCCCCATATTCCTGCAGTTTTCTCAGCTTTACACAGGTTATCTGCCTTCATTCCAATTCTTCCCAGGCAGATTTTTTTGGGAAAAAAAGACTTTATTTGATGTGCAAAGAATTTTTCGTACAGAAAACCAGCTGTTAAAGATGTGAGCCTCGCTCTGCCTCTCGGTGCTGCTGCTTGACACCCACCGAGAGGCATGATCTGCAAACCAACGCTGCCGGCTGCAGTTCATCAACCTCCCTCTTGATTTTGGCACTTTCATCTTGGAGCACAGCATGCTGGAGTCGTCGTGCCCATAAAAAACATCCTCCTATCACCCTGTGCCTGCAGGGACATTTGTCTCTTTGGAGATGGGATCACCCTCTGACCCAAGCACCGGGAGATACCTAGTCCTGCTCCTCCACAGCAGTACTCACTCTGAATTTTTATGATTTTTGACTGATTTGGTGCATCCATATCCCCTTGGTAGGTGTTCCTCTCTCAGTGCTTTTCTCTCCAAGTAACCAATTTCACACTGCTATCGGCACAGAAGGGCTGTGACTTCTCACTCCCTCAGTCCTTCCATTTCATGTTTTCTCCAGCAGAAAATCTCTGGCTCTTCCATGAAATAAATTGGTGTCTTAGTGTGCCATTTTACAACCTCTTTAAACCCATCTAAGACCCCGCTGCCACCAAATGTCCCACCCTGTTCCCCTTCCAACTCTGTTGGGACAACAGCCGATACCGTGGGGCTGATCCTGCCAAAACCAAGCTGATTAAAATTAACTAGGATTAGCTCAGCAACATGGTTGAAAATAACTAACTACAGAAAATGACTGGTGAAAACGCAAGGAGATGGCAGGCAGGCATGGTCGGGGGCGGCATCGAAATCCCCCGGCGGCAGCGTGGTCCTAGATCATTTTATGCTGCAAAGGAAACCAAACTCCCAGTGCTGCAGATTCAGTATTTTTCAGAAAAAAACTCTAAGCCATTCCTGTCCAGACAGAGCACTCCTCTGAAGGTCTGCTATTCCCATCAGAAAATCCAATCTCTTTTTTTGGAGACTCTCAGTATTTGTGGCTAACTGTTCCTGTGGAGTAGTGCCACACAGAAGCCCTAACACTGAATATTCAGATTTAGATTTATACAAAGGTCATGGGCTTCCAGGAGCAGCAGCTCAGGCTCAGTCCTACAACCTGGGGATGTATCGCCTTGATTCAGGATATCGGGGGAAACTCAGTCTCAACAGGAGAGAAAAAATATGGTGCATGCTCTAAAAAGTTGCCATCAGCACAGGGAACAGAGTAGGTCCATCTCGCTTCAGCCATGAGACTGGATGGACCAGAGAGGCAAATTTCACCTCGCTTCTTTGGCTAAGTTTGCCAGCTCCTCTCTCCTGAAATAATCACATGAAGAAGATCCTTTCCACCCCTGTTCTTCACCCAGTGTCCAGCGTCCTATTTCTTATCTCTAAAAACGTGGACTTTTGGGAACTGCTAGATCCAAGGTATTTGGTGCTCCCCAGCAATTATTTCTGTGCTCCAGAAGCAGGTCTGAAAATATACTGATGGCTGGAGACACATCGCAGAATCAAGAGGTCTGAAGAGATCCTGGGAAAGCATAATATGCACATTCTGGTACACTGACTTCTTCAATTACTGACATTTTTGATGGCAAATTATTCCTCAGGAAGAAGAAGAAAGCTGCTATCATGTCTAGACTCAGATTCGTAGCTTGGGGGTGGATTTTTTGACATTCACAATTCTTTTTAAAGGTGACAGCAAGGAAGTGAGCAGGTGCAGACTGGAAAGGACAAAAAACCTACCTCAAACAAGCTGATATTGGCAAACAAACAATACAGATACACGCCTATCTTCCACCTTTGATTACTTTTCATCTAATTTAGATCATAAGCTCCAGGGCTCAAAACCTGTCGGGAAGCATGATGAAAACAGCACATTTGACAGCTAATTATTCCGCTCACCTAGTTCAGGGTTCTCTGTTTTCCCTAGAAACAAAGGCAGAATAAACCAGCAAAGTACAGGGTTGGGCTACCTGAGGTTTTGTGTTCATAGAGTAAGAGCAGGCTTAAAGTGCAGAAATCACCTAAAAATCTAATTTTTGTTCTGAAACAGACGCCTTGCCTAGATAAGAAAAATCACGTCAACCAAAGGTGTGAATTTAATCGAATATGGTAAAATGGATGCAACTCCTTTTCAGAACATACTGATCTTGAGTAATTTTTTACTGGCTAGATTAAATGAGTTTGGTTTAAACTGTAGCAAGCTACTCCCATAGCAACTAAGTACCTGATAAACTTTGCACTAATGCAGCTATGCTTATTTAGAAAATAGTTAAACGAAACCTTGCTTGGTAGGCAAGATTCACATGCAGAAGTCACCTACCCATCTTGTCCCTGACTTCACACCTGTGAGACTGAGATAAGTTAATTTCCTGCATTGTGTAGTTATTGTAAAGCACTTCGAAGGTAAGTGCTATGTTAGCACCAAGCCTTAACTGCTAATTTAGGTCCAAATTCAGGAGAAAAACACAGACCAGCACTAAACCCCTCCTCCTTCTCTTTAGATGAGAGCTACCCATGCTTCACCATGCACCGAGCATTTTACAGTCAGCCCCATCTCACCATGTTGGGCTGCCATCCTTCGACGTTGACACAGCGATCGATGCACCACCAGAAGTCGTCTTCAGATTCTCCCTTCCAGGCAAAGACGGGGAACCCTGGCACAGAGAAGGAGACGGGTGCTAACACAGCCTTAGCAAACCACTTGGGGATCGGCTCTCCCTACGTCCACACGTGATGAACCAGGCTCCCAACACCACTGCGGTCTTGCTTGCAGTCTGATTTTTCAACATCTACCTTCTAGAAGAAGCTTCAGAGATACACATTGAAGACACATACTGAAGGCAGCAGATAGGAGTCAGCTTTAGCCTTCCTAATTTCTTCCTCTCCCCCAAGAAAAAGCTCTAGCCACCAGACGAGAGGGCAACACGCTCTCAACAATAACTTTTATTTGCAAAATCAAGCTTTTGCTGTGAGTTAAATGTTCTACCTTCCTGTTAGGCACGTTAGCCACAAATTTACTTGAATGTATCCTGACTCATGAGCAATTATCATTCAGCTTCAGCAAGCAAGACCAGGTAACAGGCAAGCCGGTGGGTTTGGCTTCTTTTGGGTCTCCCACCTCTCACAGTAAAATTTCTGGCCTTACCCAGGTTAAACAGGATTTAAATTAAGGCATGTCCCAGGTGAGAGTAACATGGACAGCTTCTGTTTTGTGAATTATGTCCACCAAAAATTCTCTCTTTCACCCCTTTTAGCCAAAGTTACAACTCAAATTTACAGAACTGAAATAAAATTTAGCTTTGTTTCTCTTAGCAAAATAACTTCCAGGTTCACATAGCCCATTCAGCTAATAATGCGCATCACCATCATTTGTACTACCTACTTTTATACTCCACAGAAAAATCATTCTAAGATTTTCAGACCAATGGAAGGGATTATCTTGTGCTGTTTACCTCCTACAGGTTTATTCTAAATTGAAGAGAATGAAGGGGAAAAACTGTAAGAGACGGTAAATGAGCTAAATACAACGGGGCAGTAACAAAGCTTTTTAAATACAGAAAGAACAAAGAGGGTGAAGTTCCTACCGCTCTCAGCAAGGGCAGCAGCCACTTCATTAAGAGTAGAGTAGATGTTGCATGCAGCCCATCGGCACTGCGCACCCAATGCACCAAGAGTTTCCATTAGGACCTGGATTTAAACAAAAAACATCAGAAAGAGCAATGCAAGGAGCTATATATAATGCTAAGAGCAACACACAACTGGGATTTTTATTTGCTATTTATGGGAAAGCTTCTGGGGGGTATCTGAAGTTGGTTTTAAGCAGCATCAGGGTCATTAGAGAGTTGTACAGAAAACAATTTTGCAATTATTTTTGTTTTTTTACAATTTTAAATGGATGAAGTAAATAAGAACTTCAGAGTATATTCTATATGCAGCATATATATGTGTGTGGGTGTATATATATATATATGTATATATGCAGATTTCACTCAGCAAAGTCCCAAATCTAGTCAGGAGAAAGCACTCCTATCCCATGTTTGGAGGAAAAACCACAGCTCTTGACTTGCATAACTGCACTGATCACTGACCACCACTTCTTTCTGCTTATATGATACAGATAATTCAATTTCCTTAGTTATCACTACTCAAGCAATGCCTTACAGATACACGCATCACATCACCTTGAAGCACAGGCTCTGTTTATCTAGAAGTGTTCATAAAATCGACCATTCTCTTTTTACTTGGTGTACGGTGCTGGACTGAGAGACTACATCTCTATATTAACCACTTGGGGTCTATTTTAGAGGCTAAGCAGTGGAAAATCCCTGTCTAGAGTTTAATGATGGGGTCTTACAGCTGTCTGCGCTGTAATGTGTGTGCAGCCCACAATCTTGGCCCCAGCCAGTGGCTTCTCTCCCTGAGCTCTCTTCCTTAAAGCCATCAGCGCAGGCATTTCTGAAAGGCAAAATAAAAAAGAAGTCCGTCAGTACGATGGAAAGAGAGACAAGCACAGAAGAAACAGACAGCATCACTTCTTGCCCTGCTATCTGGTACTCCCATGAATTTGTACAGCTGTGGCAGCTTCAAAAAAAGCTAAATCCTTGAGAGCAAGCAACAAGTAAGTCATGGCATGGCTGAAAAAGACCCAATAACCCTTGTGAATTTTTTTCCCTACTATTTCGGATGTAGCATCATCACATTTTCAAATTTCTACCTGCAAATGCCCAGGTGAGGCTGGAGGAAAATCTGCTTCAGGCTGAGAAGGGCTTCGGACTTGCTGCTCTGATCAGCCTCTCCAATATCGCTCCTAAATACTGCATTGCCTTTACTACGGATTTTTGGAAACAATCATGCTAAAACAAAGTTGTTGAATTTATTTGATGGATTTCATCTTTTCTACTGATTTTAACAAAATGCATTTGACTATAGAGTAGTCCTTCAGTAGTTGATTGGTTGGAGCTACATGGCATAACCCTGTAACTCCTTTCCATCCCACAAAATCCCATAAAAGTCTTCCCATCTCTAACAAGAACGGTGTCAAGAAATCACCAATATACTGAAACTTGCAAGAAGAGGATTTGGGGGAAGGAAGAACCCCAAAAGACAGCCTAGGACAACGTGGAGCTTGAGGAACTTGCCCCATTTACCTTGTTCAGCAATTTCAATCTCTCGGCGCCCAAATTCTGCCTGCTTTATGTTTTTCACACAGAAATCGCTGCTGCCTTTGGAGTTCTTCTGCTGCTTGTCTCGAGGGGAGGTCTCATCATCAGAGCTGTCTGTGTAGGAGGCAGCTGGAGGAAGAAAAGGAGGTCAGAGACAGAACAAAATATTCCCTAAAGCCAAACCACCTGCAGTGGAAGGTGCAGATGATCTGCTGGATGTGTCTGTGTCCATGTGCACGTGCCGACTCCCTCCGTCCTCAGCTGGGATCTACTCTTCTCCTTACAGTGACAATTTCCCCACAGTCAGCTTTTACCTGCAACAACCTCTTCACTCTCATCTACCTCTACTTCAACACCACACCAGAGGTAATTAGCGTGAGCACTGCCTGTGTCCCGCGTGGGCTCATTTCCTCATGCTTTGCAGATCCTCTGTGGCCTTCTCCCATCTCTCTTCCCAAATGTTAAGCCTTTACAGCTCTAAGGTAGCCAACAAAAACACCTATTAATGTTTTGAGTACTTCTAAAACATTAAGAGTTGGAATTTAAGACAGTATAGATACAAGACCCTATTTCATTTTAAACAACGGCATGGTGAAGGCTGCTGGTTAATTACTGTTCAGTTCTGGTGGTATTCCCAGACCTTGGATTTGCTCAATTTCAACATTCCTCATAAGGGCAATGGCCACAAGTTGCTGCCTGGGAGGCTCACATGGGATGGTAGGAAAAAACATCTTCCTCAGTAGCATAATGCAACATTGGCACAGGTTGCCCGGAGAGCAGCTTGGTGTGGTCGGCAAACTTGCTGAGGGTGCGCTCAATCCCACTGTCCGTGTCACCAACAAAGATGTTAAACAGCGCCGGTCCAAATACTGACTCCTGAAGAACCCCACTAGTCACTGCTCTCCACTTGGACATTGAGCCATCCTTGGAGGACTTCAGGAACTGGTTAGAGAGAGCCATGGCTCACCTGATCCTGTGCTGGCAATGTCCTGCTCTGAGTGGGCAGGGGGTTGAGATGACCTTGGTGGTTCCTTCCAACCAACATCTCTGTACATCTACAGACAGCTCAATCCAGCCCTTGGATCTTCCCCTTCTTTTCTATTATAAATAACAAATAATTGGACACGTATTTCATCTTTTGCCTTTCTGGATCTTCTTTAACCCCTCCTCCCTCTTGCTCTTTTGATAAGAGAAGAGGAAGAAAGATGGCACCACTTCTCTCCATAGTATGGAGCCTACAGGGGATAGCAAACAAACAGTCTCATAGAATCAGATTATGCTTCTTGTTTAAGATGATATATGGCTATCAGGCATGGATGTGCATGTGAACACAGAATTAATTACAGTTGCTGTCAATAACTGTCTTCCTTTCCTATCAGTGTCCTCCAAACTTTTGGTTAGACAACTAGTCTATGGCAGACACATGGTGATTTACTGCAGAGCCCTTCATGGAGTTAGAAATCCCTCTTCCCATTTATTTTGATTACTAAAATAACATGTAGAGTCCATTTTTGATTCAAGCTGCAATGAATTAGCTACCACTTCTGCTTCCAGTTTATCTGGATCAGCTGAAGAGACTCTTTGTGCCATGCTTTCCTCTGGAATATGCCCCCATGTGGGACACCAGACCTCTTTCATTTGCTAGGACTGGCATCAGCAGTCAAACCAACATGCAAGGTAAGGCTTGGAGATGAACTAGAAAGCATGACTCCTCTTTCCTTTCCAGAGGACCTTTCCAGGACCCAACAAAAAAGCCTCATCCACATGGTCATCCCCCATTCCTGTTGAAATTGCCCTGAAGTTTTATTCCAAGTCCTTACTCTCCAGATCACATGGTACTTCTAAAATGAATGTGGGACCTAGCATCACATTATTTGTTAAAGCAGAAGAGGACCACCTTTGTAGAACAGCACTACCCACAACAGCCTCAGTGGAGTTAGCCAATGTTATACATTGCTAGCAAATGATGTGCATATGTGTGAGGGCATCACATACGATGATGAGCTCTCTTTCTCCAACAACATGGGAAAAGAATTGGTTAAATCTTTACCTAGGAAACATTGCATAGTCAAACTCAACAGCTGCGGGCTTTGGGTGATGTGTTGCTGCATGCATGAGCTAGCTTCTCTCCCAGGTGCAGTCTCCAGGAGGGAATGATCTACACCAAACAGCCAAGGGAGTTGTTCTACCCAACAGTCAGTAGGGATTCCCAACCTTCTGCCCCAATTCTGTGCCAAAGGAATTAGGCAGGAGGAAGGGTGAGCATTTCTTACACAGTGTCATAGGATGAATGGCATGGTTGAACCCATGGTCTTATCACTACCCAGCAGTGCTCCCAAAGAGCTGCAGCTTTCCAGAGGCATCCAGACCTCAGGTGAAGATTGATACTGAGAGCCCCTTCAGATAACTTAGAGTAAAGGCAAACCACCCCTCTACCCAGCATTTCAGTGGCTCTCTTAGCAATTTCATGCCAGAAAACCCAAACCAAGGAGTTAAACCCTTCCCCCCAAGCATGGCCATGGGTTTGTCTTTCCTGCAGCACCCAGCAAGCTGATTACTTTCTCTTCTGGCTCGTGTGAAGTGCTTGAATGATCCCAAGGAAAAAAAGCTTAGCGTTGCTGCTGTCGGTGTGCCAGGCTCCCCGAGACCCGCTCGGGTCTTAATCCGCTTACGGAGGAGAATTATGCATTGCTGAAATTTCTCTGCAAAGACGCCATCCTCAGCGGGGTGTGAAAGGCAAGTCCGACCCTGCAAATAACATGCTGACAGCAATATATTTCTGAATTTGTGTTCACAATCCCACAGCAGCTCTTGAAGGACCAGGAGCCTGGCTTATAACAAAAGAGCACCTTATATAATACCAAGCTCTTGTATATCAAGAACTCCAGAAGGAAGGATTAATTAGTTAAAGGAGGATTATTTCCTTGAAGACAGCTAATCTGTGCAGAGGTTTCTTTAAAATCATAGATCTTGGTTCTGGGGGCTGAAAGTAATTTTTTTAAACAAAAAACCCCGCCTAGATGGTAGACAGATTTTCATATGCAGGTGGTTCTTTACTGTTCCGTACATATAATATATAGCAGTGCATATAGCACTATGGGAATTAAACTAACATTGTTAGTGTAGTGTAATAGCATACTAATACATAATAGTAAATTTTACCCTTGCTTTCCTGTAAAATGAAAAACAAGTACAGAAAGGAAAAGATTCCTAGCACCTGTAATCTACAGATATCCAATTAACTGATGGGATAGGCAGTTTCCTAAATATGATCTCAAATCACCCAAAAGTTGATTAATGAAAGCTTCATAACTGGGGCTGGCATTCCATACAGCTGTGTACCATTTTGATATAAATTGTATTATTTCAAAGAGAATGACACGAAAATAGCAGCAGGTCTCAGGCACTGTTATCCAGTGGAAAAATGTCAGGGGGAAAAGAAGACACCTGCAGTCCATGTCCTGACCCAGCAAAGACCAGGTCAGAGCCTAAATTCAGCAAAGTTTAGCTTTGCTAATATTTTAGATGAGGATCCACTCACATTTGTAGTATTGGCATCACTAAGGGCAAAAAAGGGGCAACCTGCCCCTGTTACAGCCCAACTAAAAAGACCAACCCTGTTTCTTTTCTGTACAACCTTTTGAAAGTTATGAAACAGCAGGAGGATGAAGTCAATCGCCTTTAATTAAAGATATTACTGTTCTAATCTCATTTCAGCGCCCACAAAACATGTATGTGGTACGTAATACACAATGCTGAGTGCTTTAGTATTCAAAGCGCTGGGCTGATATAAACCACGTGATCCCCCAAAATCTTTGTCCAAGCAGATAACAATTATCTGAGTTTTGCAGAAAGGGAAAGAACAGTTACTGAAATTTAAGTGATTTGCCCAGTGCACCGCCAAAACAGCCCCTCGACTCCAAAGCTGAGCTGTCAGGTCAGTGCCTTTCCCTGGTTTGCAATAGCAGATGCTGTTAAACACCACGGCGCGTCCCTGGGCATATAAACCACTCCCAAATGGCAGAGGAAACAATTAATTTCCCTGGCGAGAAAAATTACTTGTTTTAAATGAAGTGGAACAACTACAGAAAACTGCTGGCTTATGGCAAATACAGATAAGAGACTTTTAGTTCCAATTTAAAGAATCAGATCAGAACGGATCATTAGTATTTTCATCCTTCATACTTTACAGCAACCAAGTGATAAAGTTTTCATGTTCAGCAGTGTTTCTCATGGTTTATCATAGAATCATAGAATGGTTTGGGTTGGAAGGGACCTTTAAAGGTCATCTAGTCCAACCCCCCTGCAATAAGCAGGGACATCTTCAACTAGATCAGGTTGCTCAGAGCCCCGTCCAACCTGACCTTGGATGTTTCCAGGGATGGGGCATCGACCACCTCTCTGGGCAACCTGGGCCAGTGTCTCACCACCCTCATTTTTCCCATTATTGCCTCTAGCAAAGCCCAGTTAGTGACGCATTGCATCTTGGAACACGCTGCTCCACATCGTAACTTCACAGATGGTACATATTTTGGAGACCAGCTGACGATTTTGATCGAACTTTTCCAGTTTTGATGGGCAGGAAGAGCAAGAAACCACTGGCTGTTTACAGAGATGCTGTTTCCACACCCAGGCCTCTCTTGCATCACTAAAATGGCACCGGCACCTCCCCATCATTTTGGGCAGAGATGCTGGGATGACTGCCTTCCCACCAAGCACGTCTCAAGGAAGAGTTGCTTGGGTTTCTCTCACTTCTACACTCACGCCCACCACCTCCAAACCTTGGGACCTCCACGTACCTCTTGTGTGCCCAAAGAGCAACGAAGTTGGTGAAGGGTCTACAGGTCAAGTCTTATCACAAGTGGCTGAGGGAATTGGGGTTGTTTAGCCTGGAGAAAAGGAGGCTGAGGGGAGACCTTATCGCTCCCTACAGCTACCTGACAGGAGGTTGTAGCCAGGTGGGGGTCGGTCTCTTCTCCCAGGTAACAAGTGACAGGATGAGAGGAAACGGCCTCAAGTTGTGCCAGGGGAGGTTTAGATTGGATATTAGGAAAAATTTCTTCACTGAAAGGGTTATCAAGCATTGGAACAGGCTGCCCAGGGAAGTGGTGGAGTCACCATCCCTGGAGGTATTTAAAAGACATATAGCTTAGGAACATGGTTTAGTGGTGGACTTGGTAGTGTTAGGTTAACAGTTGGACTCAAAGATCTTAAGGGTCTTTTCCAACCTGAATGATTCTATGATTCTTCCCCTCCATTATCATCTCTCTGCTCCTCATGCTGCTTCTTTTCTAGCCTTTTCCCATCCCAGGAGGGCTTAATGGGTTGTTCAGACTGTGCTACTGCTCAGCCTTAAAAGGAGAATGACGAAGATCCATGCCAAGAGGTACTAATGGGATTTATCTACCCATCCTGCAACCGTCGTGGGAGCAGAAGTCTTCTGTCTTGACTGTCAGTCTAGCAGCTTTCATTAGGAGGGAAATATAATACTTTCACAATCTAATTAATTGCAATTGCTGATGCTTTAGCAGGAGATGCTAAGTGCAAGTGGCAGAGGAGAATTCCCCAAAGTTGCTCCAAATTCTTTCAGCTGTGAATTGGAAGCAAACACAATGACATTAGCCAGCCTAATCAGCCTATTAGTCTTCAAAAATGACAGGCATAAAATATACCCTGCTGATTAGATATCAGATGGAGTTGTAAAACCTGTACAAATATATTAATCACAGACCTGTATTAGAGAAGTCTAATCGTTAATGCCAGCTTAAAACATGCTACCCAAGATGATAATGTTACAAATATAATCCAGGTGTCTTACAAAGTGCAAATGGAGCCGGGGCTGATGTCTCTCTGGAGAGGACATGGCAGGCATGTTCCTCAATTTATCCTAAAAGCCCTTTGTGTGGGAACGCAGCCACTGCAGGAGTGATGGGTCATGCAGGTTGTCCCCAACCTTGGGGAGCTCCTCCAAGCCTCTGGAGGAGGCTCTGGAGATTCCTCCAAGCATACAAGGCAGCATGAAAGAAGCAGCAACCCAACAGGCAGGAAAGGAGATAAAGGACAGTCGCTCGTTCTACAGGAACCAGGGTGAAGCCATTGGACTGTGCGTGGCTTTCACTGTTTGTGTGCCCAGGATCCGATCACGGCCTCCAGCAGTTGCATCTTCTGGAGGTGAGCAACTGCCTCTGCCAGGAGCAGAGAGGACTGAACAGCCATGACCTCTCCATCAGTTACCTTTGCTCTTCTAACCCTAGGTTGCTGAAAAATGTGAAAAGCTTGTAGGTTCTCATCTAGCGTGTTTTTCATGTAGCACACAGGCAACCATCTCTGTTATGGACAATGCACTACTGCTACACAGCAACTTCATATAAATCTGCTCAGTCATCTGATCTGACTGTGGTTCTGAGATACGTTACAGCCACAAGGAATGGGAGATAGGCAGGACTGATAATACTACCTCAATCTAGTGAGCTGTCACAGTGTGGTCTGATCCCAGCTCATCTCTGATACCCTTAGAATCAGGGAAATGAGTAGAGAAACACAAAAGAGGCTTTCCATCCCTACATCAGGAAGACTTCTGGCCCACCACCTAGGCTCAAGTACAAGTTCTGTGCACAGTGTCTCTTTGCAGCAGTCAGCTAGGAGCCGGATCCTGAGTTTGTGGAGGCTTTCTACACTTAACAGAGCTAAAATGTCTCTGTTTAAACCCCTCAGGCTTCTGCTGGCTCCTCAACCTTCCACTACTAATGCAGTCCCCCTTTAGTGGTGGCATCTAGCTCTTTGCTTGTGCTGGCAGAGAGGATCACTCCATGCTTCACTGCTCGCTCACATGGTGCTCTGCACACCTTCCCCAGACAGCTCAAGAAAAAAACATGAAACCAGGTTCATCATACGCAGCAGGTTTTATCCTGTTTGCTCCCAACAGGTTATAGCATGTACCATGACAGGACAGGCACAAGAACAGGGACGTTCTCTAAAGCTTCAACAGTCAAGACCTACTACTAGGACTTCAGATGGGCATCAACTTCAGCTGTAGCTGTCAGCTACATCCACTCTGGGAAGTAAAACAGGGGACTGGTCTCCAGTACAGGCGCTGGCCGGCGCGGCAGAATTCGGCTCACATCCATCCATGCGCGCAACTGGACAGCATGGAGAGCCTTGTGTGAGCTCACGGGCTCTGTCCTGCTTCCTTCGACAGCAGACATGCAGCTGGAAGCTGCAGGTGGGATATGGCCCAAAACATCCTCATACAAGCAAATGTGGGTGGACTACCTTCAGATTTGATTTTTAGCCACAGGCTTTCAGTTTGCAGAATGGGACTAGTCCATGGCCAGCAAACTCTGCAACCAAAACCCAACCATAGCTCACAGCACGTCATCCACTCCAAAATACAATTCTTTCTTGTTATACCCAAGGTATCTAGCTGAGAGGGTCAGGGTAGGATGCACCTTGGAGCTTCTCATGGTCTCTGATGCTCCAAACTAGCAGATATCTACACAGATTCTCCTCAAGTACACTGTGACCTGCCAAGTATCCAAAAAATACATCCATGTCATGGACAGGGACTAAGTGACAGACTGTGGTGGAGCTTTACCGTGAATACTCCTTATTCCCCATGGCTCTGGCATAAAGCCAGACCCCTGCAAGGTCTGCAGCCAGACCTTGGCCACCAAACTGAATACCCATCTGCGAGCTCTTGACAGTACTCCACCATGAGTTTTGGTACACATGACCAGAAGGGCCTGATCATTTGCCTTCACAGTCATGAGGAACAGAGGAATAATACCTCCTCCAGTTTCAAGCTGCCTACATCTCCATTCTTCGTAGCCTTGTGTTGGAAGCTGATTTCTTCTGCATCTTCTTCAAGGGGCCAGGACCAGGAGGGGATCAGATGCATTAAGACTCCTTGAGGGATGGGCAATTGGATCCAAATTCCTTTCTGTGACAGTCTCAGCTAGGACAGCAGCTGTAACATTTCAGGTAGCAAGCAGTATTCCCTTCAAAGTGCCAAGGATCCTGGATGGACCTATCCTGAACAATTTGAGAGCATCCCTGGTGACCTCTCCCTATTCCTGGAAAGCCACTATCCTCATAACCAACTCCTGAAGTGACATAAGGTTTCCAGCACAGTAATGGTACTTAATGACATATTCAGAGACAAAGAAAAGAGGACACTGGAAGGTGAGGTATGATACCAGTCCCATGTGGGTGTTACTGGACTAGGGTAAATTTAGCTAAAGGTGCCACTTGGGGGCATAATGTTTTATCGAATGGGCCAGTGACATTCCTATGTGCTGGGAAGTGCGGTGGCACTGAACTTCCTCAGCACACAGCGACTTATTTGCTGAATAATACTAGAGACTGTTTGCGAAGTGCAGGACAGCTTTGCCTTCTTCACTCAAAGTCAAGGTAGGTTTTAGCAGTCGTTCTCTCAAGCCTGCACTCTTTCCTCTAAGGAAAAAATGCCAATTTCCACCAGGATACTTGTTTTCAGGACTTTCTTGTGCTGCCTTTTTTGCATCAGCTTGAAATGTTAATGTTTGATTGTTGTATGTTTGATTTCTAAATGTTGAATGTGTTTGATGAACATGACACTCAATGAAATTAATCTGTTTTTCACAGGAATCTATCTTTGACTGAGTTTTAAGAAACCTTCATGGACTGCTCCAGAAATTAAGTTTTAGTTGTTTACATTGAAAATTATGCATGTTGAAAGAAAACAAAACAACTCAAGCACCTACACAAGTCAAAACAAAACTTTGCTATGCCTTGTTCTCAAAGGAACAAACCTGCTGCTGGGAGGACCAGAGCCTGAAGGTTTCTGGACAGTGCTGCACAACCACCAAGTATTAGTCCAGACAAATCAAGTTTCCAAAACCAATCTTTGTAAATATACCTCGGACTTCAGAAGAGCCCTGAAACTTAAAACCAAACAAAAAAACCCCAATAAACTCAACCTCCCTCCCCAGTGAGTTCCCCTAAGTACAGCTAGCAAGACTGTATAGCAAGTCCACAACTTGCTAAAAGTTTCATTTCACAGATTCCAGCGGGAAAAACACAGAAGACATATGCATGGCCTTCAGAGGTCACCATTGCTCTTCCAAAGATTCCAATTCTATGTGCAGCGGGTCAGTCCAAACCTGCAGTGGGATCCACATGGATTTATTCAAGAATGGGAAGGGAAGATGACATGCAAGCACGAACACAACGGAAACACTGTTTTGTGGAGCCTGGAAGGAAAAGGAAGGGGAAGAGAGGAGGAAAGCCAGCAGCAACTGCACACAAGGACTATAAAGAGAGATTAGAAGTGCTAAGCACATCAGAGTAACAATTTTCTATCCAACTATACACAAAGATGAGAAAAAAAAGTAACAACCCTCTTTCCATGCCTTCCCTCCACCACTACCAACTACACAGCAGATCTCGGAGATCCTTGAGCAAAACGCGGAACAAACCCTGCAGTCTGCAGAGATGCTGTAACTGCAGCTGATGGCACACACCTGAGCTGTAGCTATCTGTTGAGGACTGCGAGATGGAGCGGGAAAGCGAACGGCGGCCAATCTTCGTCGGGCGCTTGTTGAATTCTTGCTTTTGGTCAGCAAACTGGATCTGTTAAAAGAAATGAATAGTTAAGTCAGATGTAATAACCCAACAGTCTGATACAGAAGATTAATCCCAAGAACCCACAGCCTTGAGCAGACACCGACACCATCTCAGTTATGGGCTGAATCGCAATTCCTGTTATTTAATTGGGAACAGGGTACGCTAAATTGCCTACTTGGTTTACCTTCAGACCCCCCACCAGATGCAGCATTGACACACTTGTCTTTCAAATACCTTGAAGCTCCTCTTTTAACCACAGAAATTAGAAAGCTTCTGTCCCCATTATGCACAAACTTATTTTTCCAAAATGCTAATGATAAGGGTTATTTGTCGCAAGAGAAGCCCCATTAGGGCCACCCAACATTTGTAGAGCTGATGCGGACACTGACCTATGTTGCAATGCTTATTGTGGTGACCAGTATGAGATGCTCCCTATTTGCTGTACAAAATACAAAAGGCAAAAATAAAAACATTTCACATAACCAATACCGCTTCCAGCTGCACTCAATATTAAGAAACATTTGAGATTAGATACATCACTCAAGGCTGTTGTAACTGTTGGGAGCATGGACGCCTGGAGAACATAAGTATTTAAGAGCACTGTATTTAAGAGTACACAACTTTATACAACAAATCAAGAAATGAAAGATAAGGCATGTAAATGAAGCAATGTGCAGACTGGCAAAATGTAATTATTCAAGTTGGAGAGAAAGAACGAACTATCATTTACCAGCAACGCCTACAACAATACCACAGCAATGGATGTAACACTAATATTTTGTGGCATTTTGCATCTACCCTCTTTTTTGATGGAGCTCATCTCATTGCAAAAAATTGTTGTGCATGACAAATAGCAACCTGCTCAACCCAAGATGAAGAATCAAGCCCATTTCCATTTCAATCACCAAGGAATGAAGATTTCAGACTCCCCAGGAACATCTGTGAAGCCCCAAGACCACCAGTGGGTTTGAGAGTGGCCGAGCACAACCCGGCTCAGTCCTGCCCGTGTTACGGCTGCAGTAACTGCCAAGTTGAGAGATAAATATTTATTTTAAGTCAGCAAAGCTGATCTGCTCCATAGCATGCAGAGGACAGAAAGGATAAGTAAAGAAGTGTCACTTTTATGTAGGCACTTTTAAGGGGAAAATGACATTCAACATTGGTATTTATAGAAGAACCTCTTCCTCCAAGCTTGTTTTACTCCCGCCCTTGGTTGAAAAGAGCAGCAAGCAGGCCAAATAATCAGTATTTCCTTACTATAAACTCCCCAAATCCAGGTTTTCACATAAACCAAACATCTGCTCTTACAGATGATTATTAGTGATTTTACAGTAGAAACGCAACCTTTCCGTGCCCCACGCACGTGCACCTCAGGTTGGACTTGTCTTAACGCTTCCCTGCTCACATCAGCACCAGCCTTCAGCTAGTCACCCCAAAGGGCTCCACAAGCATCACACACATTTCAACAGACATAAAACTTCTCAGAGCCCGCTTGCCTTGCCCAAGGGACACGGCGCATCTCAAAACCACACCAGCAGCTCAACATCCCTTTTAATTCTCTCTATATGTGGCTACTGGGCCATATTTAAGCATTCAGGAGAACAGGCTTATAGTTTTAGGAAGTATTTTAATTCCCAGTGCTCATCACTTTGTAAGCCAACCATTGTCACTCCCACTGTGTTCACGATTTGTGCTAAATCTCAGGGAAAGTGGAAGCACGACTTCCAATTGCAAATTTCCTTGGACTTTGCTACGAGCATAAACTGACTCAATCTGGCAATGGGGTTAAATATTTACATCTCCAAAATACTGAAAGCCATTAATTGACTCTATTAACTAACCCCTTGGGGTATTTTGAGAAGTTAGTTTTGTTTAAAGAAGTCATCTAACCAGAAAGAATTTGATCCCATTCTGGCAACTCAAATTCAAGCTCAGTGGTTTAAGTAGCAGCACTTGACATTGCACTTGAGATGGGCTGGTAATGCTACAGAGCTGGTGCTCTGCTTTTTGAGCCAGTAAGTGAAGAATAAAGGTGACGGGGGTCTCAGGTGGCTAATTCAGAGTCCTCTGTGAACCCAAGTCTGAGCTGGCCCAGGGACAGCCAGCGCAAGCTGCTGGGGAGGAAGGAAAGGACCTGGGAGAGGATTTGCAGCAGCACCTGGGAGCTCTTTTTTTCTGCTAATCTTAAACCAAACAACAGAATGACACCAGATTGGGAAACACACAGGGGAGAAAAAAAAAAAAACACGTCAAACTCATATTACAGTCAAGAGTTGTGTTGTGGATTAACACCTCTGATCCCGGCAGGACGGGGTCTTTGTGCACACACATCAGTTTTTATATTCCTTTTCTAAGAAGCTGTTGGCCTGAAATAACCTTTTTTCTTTTTTTTTCTTTTTTTTTTTTCTAAACAAATCCCTCGACAGCTGAGCAGCTTCATCAAAGCATCAGGTTTTGTGTGAAATGATGCTCTTGGCAAAGCAAGATAGGCTAGAAGTCTAACAAAGGGTGAATAATTCGTATTACAATTAACATTTTCCTTTCCCACATCATCTCTTCAAGGACATTCAATGCAACTATTTCAAGTGCCACGGTAATATTAATAATTGCATTCAGAGCTCTCCAAGTACTTCCACATCCATGACTGATAGGCAAGTACATGCCGAAAAGAAAAATAAGTCATGAACCAAATTAGGCAGAACTAGAACTAGACTTTATAATAAACCCTGCCCTCAACCCCTTTAAGGGTTTAAACCCTTTAAACATTGCCACAAGCTGGGTTTAGCTTTAGCTGAGCAAGGCACTGACTACCAAGAGGTGGAAGGAAGCACCAGAAGAGGAGAACGTCGGGAAGGGACCGGGTCAAAGCTGAGGTCTGCTTTTAGCTAGCATTGACACGCCACCAACGTCTTTTGGCTTTATCCTTCCAGCAATAGAGACAGCAGGCAAGAAAGGATGCTGGTATTTGATTTATTTAAGACATCTGTTGTATCCACCTTCATTCAGTGCTAAATTTTTGTATTGCACGGACATGTGAAGGGTACAAAGTGTCAGCAGGAATATACTCTTAAGCCAGTTTCCACAACACATCTTTATTTTTGAGCTGACATCACAGCAACGCACACTCGATCCAGCCAGAACGAGAAAGCCAGACCTTGCTTACCCAGACCAAAACTCTGGCTTTAATCCCTACCGAATGGTACAAGGCAACTGATGGCATGACACACCATGTTCCAGCCCCGCTGGAAAGATGGGGACATTCAAGATGGGAATGAGAACAGTGATTTGGTTCCAGGTTGAACTTATTCAGCTCACACTGAAACGCCTCTGAAGGTAACAGCCAACTTTGCACAGGCTAAAGCTCAAAGGAGAGGCTGTGAAGCCTTTGAGAGCCGTAGCTGATTGGATTTAGGAGTCCAACCTGCTCTGCAGCTACACAAGCACTGCTGCTTTCAACCTCCAGCAGGAAAAAACCAATTCAGGCTGAAAAACCTCACCTCCAGAGGTACAAGGGGTTAATGACTTCTAAATGCAGGTGCATGCTCATTACATTTCAAATGAGCTAAGTCTCACTTCCACCTGGGATCTCCACCATGAAGAGCTCTCTACGCTACTTCACTGAGCAAAAAAAGTCTTGTCATCCGAGGTTTTCCTGGGCAATCTAGCTGCTCGCAAACCCATCGACTCCTCCATCTCAGTGGTCTGAAAAACAACCCCAGAACAATGTGTTCGGCTCAACACTTTATCATTTCAAACCTCCTGCTCCTGAGAGAAAATGAAGATAAATCCTCCGGAGATTGGGATTTTCTCTAAGCAAGGGGATCCAGTCAGCTCCAGAAATAAGTGATTGGGGGAACAGCACAGAAAGGAGAAAAAAAAAAAAGGGGGGTGGGTAGAGAGAAACAAATGTACTTCTAAATAGAAAAAATGTTATTACGGTACTAAAGGCTGCCCTCACCTGGGCTTTAATCCCTGAATCTCCGTTCACGTTGTACTTCTTCTTGTTCGGCATGACGGCATCACCGACAGCCCCTCTGCACCGTCTCCCGCCGGGGCAGGGGCTGCCCCCCCATTTATACCTCCCAGCCCCGCCGATCCCGATCCTGCCCGCTCTGGTTTCAGCTGCGGGGTGGAGGGAGAGGGAGGGAGGGCGGGAGGGAAGGGGAACCGCTCGGATTTTCAGACTCCCTTTTTTTTGGCAGGAAAGGACCCCAAGACTTAATGAGGCGTCCCGCCAAACAAGCCCTACTTCTGTTTTATGTTGAATTACAGCATTTGCCTGACCTCTAGACAGTTAGCGGCAGTTTTTAACGTGGCCTGGCTTGTGTGTGCATAACAATAGCTTATTTATATAACCAGGACATTTCCCTGCTCGCTATAATTAACTTGCTAATTAGGCTCTTTTTAACTTGGGTTCTCCCCCCCACTTTCTTTTTCCCCAATGTCAGATGATTACGTTAACAGAGCCTCATTAGAAGAAAATTAACTAATGAGCAACTAAAACAATGAAGGCATTTGTTAGATGGCAAAGTGGTTTTTAATTATGCCGGTCCCCGCTCCGTCCCCTGTGGTGGCAAGTGCAGAGAGTCCATCCTTGGAAGGGTCCAGACTCCGACACCCACCCCACTGTTCCCGCATCGTACCATGCCTCTTAGAGTCACAGAACGGTTTGGGTTGGAAGGGACCTTTAAAGGTCATCTAGTCCAACCCCCCTGCCATAAGCAGGGACAACTTCCACAAGATCAGGTTGCTCAGAGCCCCGTCCAACCTGACCTTGAATGTTTCCAGGGATGGAGCATCGACCACCTCTCTGGGCAACCTGTGCCAGTGTTTCACCACCCTCATCATACAAAATTTCCTCCTTATATCTAGTCTCTTCCCACCTTGCAGGTACCTACTGCAGCAGGAAAAAGGCTGCAGATAACCCCAGAGGGATGTTTGTGCAGCAGTAGGGTTTGGGAAGTGTGATGCTTTGCTACCAGTGACCGAGCAGACCTGATGCAAGG